AGAGAGAGAGAGAGAGAGAGAGAGAGAGAGAGAGAGAGAGAGAGAGAGATGACAGAGACAGAAAGACAGAGAGACAGAGACAGAGACAGAGACAGACAGACAGACAGACAGACAGACAGACAGACAGACAGACAGACAGAGACAGAGACAGAGACAGAGACAGAGACAGACTCTCATCAGAATTGCCCAAGATGAGAAGATCTGCCCAACTGCCCAGCTATCCAAAATATTATGGGCAACAGGAACATAGGAAGATGATGGAAGTGGAAGATCCTTTTAGTGCCAACAGCCAAGGCATGATTTCATATGTGCAGGAGAAGACAGTGGTCATTCATTAAGACTTCAGGGAAGGGAAATGTTAAATTACTCTCATATTTTAACAGGAAAATCACATGGTGAGAAAATATGAAATAAAACCTGGTTGAGGGAGATCTTCCCAAAGGAAACATCTGGTTTTATGCTGGCTAAAGAGTCCACACTAACTTGATAGCAAATAGCAAATAATCTCATCAATGAGATAGTGAGGCAAAATGAATGGGGTGCTTAAAGAATATGGGGACGGTATTTCATGAATGTTACCTTTCTTCTCCAATATTTGGGATACTTCTCCTCAGGAAAGTGAAAATTGTAACAGGGGAGTTCTCTAATAATTTAACACCATATAACTCAACTAAAACTTTGTTTTCCCTACAAAGAAGGTCACTGACAAGCTGCTCTTCCTTCTTATATGCTCTTCCTATTATTTAGCCAGAATCCGTTTTAATAATTATTATATATTATATGCTAATGTTTCCATTCCTATACACATTTTTAATAAATCTTTATTAAGATTTTTTTTGTACAGGAAGAGATAAATCCAAAGAAAAAGAAAAAGAAAAACTGCAAGAAATAAAAGTAAGAATAAACAGAAGTGAAGAAATGAATAACTTCCAATCTTCCTGTCAACAAATATTTACAAGCTTGTTACCCCTCATCTCTCTTAGATGTCATATTTCAGAATCACAATCACAATCAGAATTGAGCTGGAATGGACCTTGGAGATCTTCTAGTCCAGCTCCCTGCTCAAGCAGGAGATCCATTTCCTGTAGATTCTGGGTTTAGAAAAAGCTGTGAGAGGAACCCTCGGGTGGAATCTGCTACGTTTGCGGGTGAAACATGGATTAAGTGTTATTGGTTTCAGACAAACCGAGTTCCAAGACAGAGGGCTTAAAAATTGTGTAGCTTTTTAATTTTTAAACAAGTTTATAATCTCTTCATTAACTTTGTTAATTAAAAAGAAACAACTGAACAAAAATGTTTATATTATCAAGGCAAAGTTGAATGTATATAACACAATTTCTTTGCGATTCATTATCTTGTCAGTAACATAACTCCATCAATTAAACACATATATGTTGAAGGCAGCATATGCACTTGTATTAATTATTTTCCACTGCTAGTCCTTCCAAAAAGAACTCAATATATGTCACACTATATATGCAAAAGTTGTCTCCTCCTCTATTAAAGTACAACACATCATTTTCCAAGTAGACAAAAAATAATATTCCATCTTTACTATACCCACCTGCAGTATATAAACAATTTTTCACCCCTATGGCAGCCTACTATGCTGTCTTCATGATCAATTTGATAAAATAGAACTTAGTGTTCTAAGTTCATCATGAACTAAGTCTGATGAAAATAACCAATTATTTTGGCAGGGATGAATTAATAGCCTGCATTTTGGGTTATAGGAGCATCTCATTCACATGAACCAATGTGATCATATCTTTAAAATGGTATGTACAATCCATCAATAATGTGGTTGCTAATTTAGGTAAGTCCAGCTTATGAGCTGTTTGCATTTAAGGAGATGCTCCCGACAAATTCTAGTTTATTTGGTGAATGCCTGAAAGATGCATTACTTCATCTAAGCCAAAAACAGATGGAAAAAACTAAAGGCAATTATGAATTAAACTTGGCTCAAATCTTTAAGATGCAGCATTAGTAAGAATGTCCCAAGGGTGAAATTACAAACCATCTGTATGCAATCTTCATTTTCGTGGAGTTTTACTTCATGAAAAAGATTCAAGAAAGGATCCTCCCATTGACCCAAGTACATTCAGGGGCTGCCATAAAGAAGAAGGAGTCAAGCTATTTTCCAAAGCGCCTGGAGACAGGACAAGAAGCAACGGGTGGAAACTAATCAAGGAGAGAAGCAATCTAGAACTAAAGAGAAACTTCCTGACAGTGAGAACAATTAACCAGTGGAACAACCTGCCTCCAGAAGCGGTGAATGCTCCAACACTGGAAGTTTTTAAGAAGAGACTGGACAGCCATTTGTCCGAAATGGTATAGGGTTTCCTGCCTGAGCAGGGGGTTGGACTAGATGACCTTCAAGGTCCCTTCCAACTTTATTATTATTATTATTATTATTATTATTATTATTATTATTATTATTATTATTATTATTATTATTATTATTATTATTTTATACAAAATTGAAAGAATCAATTGAAAAAAAGATTGTTTGATAGCAAAGACAATGAGTTGGCGTATTGGTCTCGCATACTTGATCAAAAACATTGGCCTGAAGTTGTTAATACTCGACTGACATTTGGAGAAGTGGAATATAGAAACTTGTCAATCAGACTGCAACTAAATGAAAGAGAAATGATTCGTGGATTCCGTGAATACATTCTCGAAAAGACATATTCAGAAAAACTGTTGCATTTGATACAGACCCTGAATACCATTCCCATTTCTTGAAGTGAATGTGAACATGGGTTTTCGCAGATGAATCTAATTGCCACCCCAACAAGAGCTTCGTTGAAGACTAAGACAATTTCAGCACTTTTGTTCATCAAACTTGTCGGACCACCTCTGAGACTTTTCAATCCTTCAAATTACATTGATCTGTGGTTATTCAGAGGATGACATTCAGCCATAGATACTAACAGCAAGGAAAAGAGTCAAGATGATTTGCCGGACGAGAATTGGACAAAACTTTGAAATTTACTATGAACATTTGCCTTAAATCAGGGGTGTCAAACTGCCAGCCCATGGGCCAGATGCATCATAGCGAAACCGCACCCACCCCATTGCCGGCAATGGAAAAAAAGTTGTGATACGTCGCGACACGTCACGTGACATTGCGAGCTTGACATCCCTGCCTTAAATACAATAAATTAAATGTATGTTACGAACTGAACATATAATTTTTAATTATATAAATAAATATATAAATAAAATTATATAAATAAAAGATTAACAAAAGGTGAGTTCCGGCACCTTTTTTTTTTTTTT